ATATATATATATATAAAGTCTTTATAAACCCTTCCAACACTCTTGAAAAGTTCTTAATGTTCTAAACTCTCAATGATCTAAAAGAGAACAGCGAAAGACAGCAGACAGACTGATGCCACAGTTACTGAGCCAATCAGCGCCCAGGGGCGGACTGGCCATCGGTAGCACCGGGACATTTCCTGGTGGCCTGGCCCGCTCAGTAATTGCAAAAGGGGGGCTCGGTTTGGGTGACGCTTGATAATTTTAAATAAACAATCTGTGTCGCTCGTGCGGCTCACTCAGGTATAAGACAGACACCCTGCCCCTTCCTTTCTCTTTCTGAGGCTGCCTGTCACAGCGGGGGGGGGGGGGGGGGTGTCGTCTGTCTTATACCTGAGTGAGCTGCGCTCAGCCACTCTCTCTCTTTACAAACTGGTTCACTCTTATTTTTCCACCTAAGCATTTTCTTCAATATTCTGCATTTATTCCTCTGATCTGTTCATCCCTGCCCCTGAGCAGCAGCGATAGGGAAAGACAGACCCCACTCCTCCTTTCTCTTTCTGAAGCTGTCTGTCACAGCAGCTACATCACCAATTGTATGTTGTGTACAATCTTATGCTGAAAACCCGTGAAAGAGTGAGTCCACAAAGTCAAACTGCGAAGCATCGAGGGACTAATGCACAGTATTTAGCAACTAATTTAAACTTTTTGAAGCAGTCTTACTACTTACTAGTCCTACGTGTTGTTGAACACTTTTAGCTAAAAAACAATAATCTCAGAAACTCTCATATTTCAGCTTACGGTCTTTTGTTCATGAGGATTTATTAAAGAATTAAACCTGTTTGCTCATACCTCAAAGGTTTATAGTATACTATATTAACAGTTGGCTTGAAGTAAATGTTTTACAATGCTTTTATTTGACAGCATGTAAAATTATAATGATTCCTAATTTGCATTTAATGCTCAATACTGAAATAACCATTATTCTTGTGTTTGAAGATCAGAGCAGTTTTAAAAAAATAAAATAAAAACAACAACTAGACACTTCCAGTGGCACTATGTCTGAATTTGGTGAAGAACCAAGTAGAAGCTATAAAGAGTTAAGCTCCTAACAATATGTTAAAATACACTAGCTACAGTTGGACCCTGTTTAGACGAGAACGATCTCCTGGAAACATTATAGAATTTCCAGTGCTGATTGAGAAAACGTTACACATGCACATGTCAACACTGTGATCGTAATCGCTGTTTAGATGAGATGGTAAAACTTTGAATGCTCTACAGTTTTCATGCCAGGTCAGTAGCTGGCACTGTGATTTTTGTGTTTCAGCAACATGTGCATGCACACAAACACTTCGGCCTCAAGCATGAACATTTACAGGGCTGTTCAGTTCTTGTAGAATGTGAGAAGTGCATCTCCTCTGTCCCAAGAGTTGGTGTAGCACATCATGTTCTGTGTCAGAAGCTCTGATGAACTGACAAGCCTGAGCAGCACAAACATTATGCTATCCCCCGATGATACTGTTGTTTATCTACTCGTGCAGAAAAGCTACTGACTGCAGCTGTCCATTGTGCACATGTGCACTTACACACACATGCTCGGCATTTCCAAAAACTTCCAGTCTGAGGTCTGGATTCAAAACATGTTGGTGTCAGGGTAAACGGTCATTGATGTCGTGTACACAAACAGCTAAAACACAACACAAAAGTTACAGGTTCACTTAGAAACGGAGTCGTGTAAACAGGTTCTTAATCTAATAAAAAATGAACTGTTATGCATTTTGATGAAAAAGAAAATCTGCATTAAACAAAGAAATTCAACACTAATGGAGCGTTCCGTTTCAAATCCAAATTTACAAAACATTAACTAGTATGGTTTTTGGTTTTGAACCAGTTTGACATGACTGTCGATGAGGAAGAGGGCCGGCAACAGAGGAGGGGGCGTGCCAAAGACACCATCTTAGCACCGACATAACTGGTTTGTTCCACTTTGGAGTAAGCTGTTTGGGGGAAGAATCAGTTTTGTGTTGTGTGTTTCCTTGACTGATGAAGCCTTCTGGATGGAAGGTGAAACGTTTCAGCAAACAAAAAAAGAAACTGTCCAGATGACCTGACTGAAAAATGTTGGATTGTATACCTGGATTATTGAGCATGGACTTTTTTGATTAACTAGTATGTTTCCCAAAGTCAATATTCTAGCTTGGAAAGTCTGAGATTTCTCACCAGTCCTGACCTCAAAATCCAAAATGGTGGATTGTGTAACAACACACAGTAGTCAATGGTAAATGGACTGTACTTATAACTCGCGTTTCTATCTAATCTAGACGCTCAAAGCACTTTACAACACAATCCAGTGTTTCCCCTACCATTATACAAGTGGGTCACCCTTCCCCACCAGCAGAACCGAACTGCTTTTCGATCACGTTCATACACCGATGGGACACACATCGGAGGCAATGAGGGGTTCAGTGTGTTGCCCAGGGACACTTCGACATGTGACTGCTGCTGGAATCTAACCCCCAACACTCCCAGAAGAGGACGACTGCTCTAACTACTCATCCACAGCCGCCCCAAGTACTGTGCAACCTCCAATAATGAATCTGTTGCTCCAGTACAATGGAATATTACTTCACATATGGGGAGCAATATTATAGGCAGAAACATGGGTGTGCTATGGGGTCTCCAGTTTCTCCTATTGTTGCCAACCTGTACATGGAGGAGGTAGAAAAGAGAGCCTTGACGTCCTTTTCAGGGACACCACCAAGTCATTGGTTCAGGTATGTTGACGACACCTGGGTTAAAATTTAATCTCAGGAAGCCCAACATTTTACTGACCACATCAACTCTGTGGATAAATACATCAAGTTCACACGAGAAGATGTAAAAAAGGCAGGATCTTGGACTGTGAGGTCTCAGTCTCTGATTGAGGACAGTTGAAAAACAAAAAAATATTCATGTGGATAAACTGATTATCAATTAACAAATAAGGCCCAGATTCACTAACTGTTCTGTTTTATACGTGCAGTTTTGCATTTTGCGCAAAGCCAATCAACATTTGTGCTTCTGTCAGCACGGTGTCAATGTGCACCGCTGCAGCTTGCCCATATTTAAACACGATATTACAGATGCTTTTAAAGGAAAACCTTCTGTATTTATGTTAATAACTGTCGGGGCAAAAGCGCCTAATTTTCAACGATAAGCGCTGTACGTCACATGCATTTAGCGTCAAATAGAGCTTGTGTTATTTGCATCACTGAAGAACAAGTGAGGATGTTCAGCAGTCTGTTGCACTGCTGCCTTTTCAAACTGACTGCTGGGATGACGGGTAGAGTACGGTAATCCTCTCTTCCAGCGAAGAGTGTCAAACATTACTGCAGCTTGAAATAAATACAAATTTTAAAACAGTGTCTAGTTTTATATTCTAGAAAGAAAAAAAAAGCGTTTTGCTTACAGAACCTTTCAACAGACCATGATTTACAACCATTCAGATTAAGAAAGTAAAGTTACACATTTTATGGCGTAATTATAACGGAACTACTCAGTGTCTGAGTAGATGGCACCGTAATAATGATTTAGGGCACAAATTTCTGTCTTGTATGATCTTTGAGGGGTAGCATCATGACGGTGAAAAGAAAATGCAACTTTTTACTGTAAATAATATTCTGCGTGTCACATAGCAATAATAAAAACAGGAACACGTTGTGCAAAAAGTATGCATATACTGTAGCTCTCAAATGTGAACAATAAACAAATGGATGTGTTGTGTTGCGTCAGTGAGAGTGTGATGTATAGGCTGATGATGCAGATCTCCTTTTAAATGAGACGGTTCACCTCATGTTGTAACTATGTGGGGATAAAAATGTTGGGACCCATCTGTTCAAGACACAGACCTGCTGGAACACAGGGGGGGCAGTGGGTGCTCTCGCTGAGCCTCTTTTGGCTGTCTAAATCCTCACCCTGCTGCACTCTAATCCTGAGCCTTGGGAGAGGCTTTGCCCCATTTTTAGGATCACTTCTAAACACTGTCAAGTCATTCAAGAGATAAATGCTCCAGAAATGCTGAGAGAGGTCTGCAAAACAGAGCAAATGTCTCTCTCAGGTCACCTTTCCTGGTTCTCTAAGTGTCTGTCTTTATCAATGTTATACAATATTTTTAGATGACTTGCTCGTTGCTTACCTGTCAGTGTCCAGTGCTACCAGGGGCTTCTCATCTGGGCTCTGGTCTAAAGATGAATAGCCTTTGTTTGGCACCACCAACCTAGAAAGGGGCACAGTTGTAATCTGTATAAACCTGCAGCCCACAATGTGTCCAAGTTATGCAATACACATGTCACTAAAATTTAAAAAAAGGATCACATTTATTCAGTCATAATGCATCCATATCTTTCAGACTAAAGAAAGACTAAGTTAGCTTTCAGTCTCGGATTCTGGGTTCAGACCGGTGGGCCGCCTTTCTTAAAATTTCCATTAATCCACTGGGGAGAGGGATTAAACTCAAACCTTGTCAATACTGTGGGACTGGCAAAGCTCATGCTCAGTAGTTTTGACTCTTATGAGCATTCAGGCTCACAAAACATCTTTATTTATTTCACTGTAGGAAGCCTTGTTATGTCCTGATTGCGTTTAGTAGTAAGATTAAGAAATCTAAACATGTCTCAGACAGTCTGGAAGCAATCCATGTCTGTAAAAAGCTGCCCGCCCTGTTGTCAGGATTAGCATTTCAGTGGGGTGCAGCTTTTGTGCTGAATGGGTGCAAAAACATATTGCTTGTGATGCAAATGACCAAAAAGAGCAACATTTGGGTCTGAATCGGTCATAAAAGAGAGAACCAAAGAAGCGATGGAAGGTGCTACCTCGTCCTGGCATTCTTCTTGGGTTGTTGATTGACGGGACTTCCCACGGTGCCATTCTTCACCGAGGCCTTCCTGGCAAGGTCCCTCTGTTTCTCTGGCAACACAGGATGTGAGGTCATCAGTAAATGCCTCGACTGAGCTTCGCACACTTCCTATAACTGGAAGTCTTAATTCAGATTAAAAAATCTGAAGACATTTTACAGATTATTGCCAGCTCGTCTTGTCAACAACATATTTTCTAAATGTAGAGTATGTAGTACACAGAATAACTTCATAATAAGCTCAAAGTAATTAATATATTGATCAAGGAGGTTCTGAAAACTATTTTTCTTGAATTCATGAAACTAAAAACGATGAAGAACTATGAATACAACTAAATCCTACACGGACATTTTAGGGCCTGCAGGCTGCACCCGGCCTGTTAACCCTCTCCAGCCAGCCCATGGGAGGTCAATGGAAGATCAGAAATCAAATATAATTCATTCTGCGTGCAAACCTAAACTCCAAGTTTTATTTTGAACTTTTACAGAGCTGCTCTTTGGAAAGCAAGTGGGTGTTTATATCAGCGGTCTCCTCCGTGCACACCAGCAGCAAGTCTTCCCACTTACAGATGGAGTGCGTGAGAGCACACGGTGAAAAAATACAAAAACAGACACAGAATGTAGAGTTTTTATGAACACTTGGACTTCTATAAAAAGCAATGGGGCAATTTTACCTAGATTTATACATCTAGGAACGAAGCAACTAGTTTTGTGAGATCTCACAAAACGGTGAAAAATAAAAAACGGTACGTTGTTCTTTATAAAAACGTGTTTGGTGAACTCCGCTGCAGTACCGTGTCCTGAGAACAAGAGGAGAGGGGAACTTTCCACACATGAGCCTGCAAACCAAGACGCAGATCCTCTCAATAAAAAATCACCTGCAGCTGTCCAAGTCTACCTCGGGTGATGAAACTCAACAAAGATTAGATTTCATTCACTAAAAAAAATAATATAAACATCAGTTATTTAAAGTTGTGAATTTCATGCTGATATTTGAAATATAGCAAAACTCTGAGGGAGTGGTGGCGCAGAGGTTAGAGAAGATGGGCCTGTGATCGGAAGGTCACTGGTTCAACTCCCCGGAAATGTGAGTGGGAAAGGTGAAGCACCCACACCTGCCTCCACCTTCATTTGCCCTACTCTGGGCCCATGAGCAAGGCCCTTAACCCCCACCATTTGCTGCCCCATGCACCCTAGATAGCAGCGATCTGCTCCACACAGAGGGCTGTGGAAGCTCAGCGGTGTGTGGTTGCGTCACGAAAAGTATCCTGTATAAAAACAACCACCAAGTCTTCGTGCATCTTAGTTCACTGTGTTGACCCCTGAAGAAGGGAGCAGCCCAAAGAAGAAGAATTTAAATATTCCAGAACAATGCCTTTTTTTCCACGAATGTTAATATTTACATTGTTTATAAAAGGTTTTAATTATCTACATTAGACGTACAAATCTATAGATTTCTAATATCTAGTTACGGAGTCTTCTTGGCAGAACGGCCTGCTGGTCCGACCCTCTACAACAGTCTCGATTCTGCGTGTAGCCGTCTGGGAACAAACATAGCTGCCCATCCCTGGTCTAAGTGCTATGAGCCATAAATTCACTTATATAAAATAAAATACATATCAGATGGCACCACTTGTTTTCTCCACCTTCAGTAATCTCCAGCGTTGCAGTAAAGCAAACGTGCATACAGAGGTGTCCTATTACAGCGTTAACACACACAGTAATTGACTGGTTTGTTCAGTGCCTGCCAGTTTGCATCTGCCAGTTAGCTTGATATTGAAATATTGTGTCATGTTATTTGTTGTTTTGCGGTGAGTTGGTGTTGATACCTATTTGGACCTGCAGCGGTGGGGGCTTGTAGTTCATGGCCACACTCTCGCCTTTGGTGTCAGGTTGTGCCTCTAAAGCGGAGGACGCAGCTGGGTCCTGCAACAAGAGTCAGACAACGCAGAGAAGTTTAGCTGAGAACAGTGACATCTGCTGTAACCTGTTTTACTTCAGGCTGCTTTTATGTTTGTTTGTGTCCAAAAGTGTTGATCACAGTGTCATTGTAATAATACAAATACCAACAAAACTGAATACTTTAAAGCTCATTTAAATACTCTCATGTATAACAACAGAAAGACAAAACATTATATGTCAAAGAGATAGTTTAGATTTTTAAAGTGAGATTTTGTGGAGTTGTTATGACCAGTCAATATCTTACCTGCTGCAGATAAAATTGCGATTAATCTGAGGAGAATCGGAGAAGACAAGCTAACAGCTACTCAGAGAAGAGCCCAGACAAGAACAAACTTCAGCCATAAAAAACTTGAACCTTAATGATTTCAAAGCTGTTAAAGTTATGTTTTATTGTGAACTTTTGTACTGACAATTTTTATTAATATATTGCTTTACAATATCATCTATGGTTATTATCGTTGAAGGCCGGCTGTGTTGAAACACGGCCTGTTGTAACACATGCCATGTGAAACATAAAGTGCTAAATAATGTTCGGTTTAATGCAAATGCAATGCAGCGCAAAAACGCAACGTTTGCCTGAACGAGTAAAGTGTTTCAGGTAAAACCTGTTTCAGACGACAGAGACTAAAGTGCCCTGCGTACTCCATCCGACGCGGCGAAATCGGCTCTCACTGATGAAGTTGCGTGACGAAAATCGCGTCATTTTGTCAGAGCAGCTTCACTCGCCTCTTCTCAAAACAAGGCTCCTTCTCACAGGTGTATGCGCCAAGTACTTTGTGACTGGTCAGATGTTTGTGGGCGTGTTCGTCAATGCACAAATGCACCCGCACATTTAGCTGCAAGACTCTTCAAACACCCTAAATTAGTCAAATGGCCAAAAACACCTGGATGGAGACCGTGCAGACATTGCGCAGGGAGAAGACAATCTGCTGAGGAGTGTGGCACTTTCTTCACGATAGATTTGTGGACAAACGGCGGATGCAGCGACGGAGTGGAGAATCTGAGTGGAAGAAACCCCGCGGTGAGCAGCGAGCGAGGTTTTTCAGGAGCTCTGCGTCCGTGTCTCGTGGACTATAAAAGATGTGTGCGAAAACGAACATCCCACAACGACATGACTGCGAGTCGACTGTTCGGCATCGGATGGAGTCTGCCGGGCCCTTAACTCTTAAAGAGGACATCCTTTGAGTAGCTATTAGTTTGGCTGACTCGTGAAAATAACTCCCCGAGTTCACTCTGACTGCTGTCTGCTGCAGGTAAGATACTGACTACTCATAACAACTCCTTGGAAACCTGCTTCATAAATCTGAATAATTCCGTTAAAATATAGTTTGCTTATTTTAACAAAATATTAACTGATTTCAAATGTATGTCTAGTAAATAGTAAATTAAGGTTCGGTCCAGACAAACAGGCATTCTGCAAAATAAACTGTCGTCTGTACGCAATCGGATGACGAAGCAGAATTTTGTTTTTCTTTAAACTCATGAATCATTACAATGGTTTGTACTTGACAAAAACATCTGGCTTGTTTAATTCCAACTCTGATGTGTTGAAATTTTAGATGTCTGCTTTTAATTATTAAGAGGAAACGATAAAACAACAACAAATAAAAACAAGCTACAAGAATTACTAGTCACGCTCATTTTCTTCTTGATTCGTATTTTGACGTGTTGGTGGGGACATTATCACCATACTGGCCCAGCATGGGTATTTAGCATCTTTTGGAAATGTCTGTGCTCTCGTCTAGATTCAAATACAAAGATTTTCAAAGAGAACGAGGATTAAAAAAAAAAAATCTTGAAACGCACATGAAAACATTTCTGTAGTCAAGGTTTAAATTTGAAAGTGATAAATTCACGATCAAGAGGCAACGTGTCATAATTTAAACACAATCTGTGAGCAGTTTGGACACAGGAAAACGATTGTCATAATAAAAATAAAAATAAAAACCCACTTTGATATGAGATCTTTGATTTGAGATGTCCTAAGTATTTCCATTTGATGTCACAGAACCGTTTTTGGTTCACCTTTAAGAAATCTGCCTCAGAAAGTTTCAGTGCGTCTGAAACTTGTTAATATGTAATTGTTACAAGATTGTAAACTATAACTTAGTAAATTATCTGCATGTAAGAACAAAAAATTACATTTACCTGACTGTATATAAGTGAGACGCTTTATCTTGCCAAATAGTTCACTGTACGGGCAGTGTTTGACTGTTTTATAAATTATTATTAATGCCAAGTAAACTCAAGAACAACCCGTTTAAAAAAACATTAAGTCCTTAATAAAAGGTACCTTTACTGTAAAGTGGCACCAAAAAGACACTAGATCTAAGGAAGTAGTCAGCTCACAAATGAGATCTGGATTTACCCAGTAAATACAGCCAGGATCAGCAGTTGCTTTGAAACCCTTTTTGTGCACAACACAGACAAGACGACAGACTTTCTACAGCTCCTTTGGATGCAGCAACAATAGACTCGAGTGTTTAGGCTGGGCTAGCAGCTCCGTGTCTTTCGTCAGCGAGCGGTGACGCCGTTAGGAGGTGGCCGTGTGAAAACAGAGGGGGTAGCTGTTGGAACCACCATTTCCCCAGACTGGGAAAGGGGAGCTGGGCTGTGCATGGCCTGCTTCACTCACAGAGCCCCGCATTATGATGACTCAACAGGCCTCTCCTTGTTGAAGAACCTCACTAGTCTCATGAATGCAGAGTGCCAGCCATTTGGAGTTCAAGAGCTCCTGCAAACCTATATTTTAATGCTTAGAACAATCGAACAGAATACGAGGCAGTTAACTCGGACTATAAGGGCTTGGGCACGTTTTTTCTTAGTGGCAACTTCAAGGCTTCAGCATACTCCTTCAGAAGCGGCAAAATCGTCTCACAGCGACGTAGTTGTGTAAAATCAAGTCATTTTGTTCCCAGAGCAGCTTCGCCCGTCCCTTCTCGACACAAGGCCCGGGCCGAATCTTTTCTCACAGGAGTATGTGCCAAGTACAGTGTAACTGGTCTGAAGTTTGTGGGTGTGATTCGCACTGCAGAAATGTGCTCTGATATTCATCTGTATAACTCTTCATGACACACTTAGATAGTCAAATGGTCCAAAAACTCCTGGATGGAGTTAGTGCAGACATTGTGCTGTCTGGAGTCAGGAGGCGTGATCGATTTGTGGCCAAATGGCAGATGCAGTGACGGAGTGGAGACCCTGTCAGGAAGAAACCTATGCAGTAATGTATACTGTATACATAGGAGTGGCTCTTAATTTCATTGTACTGCGTATAATGACAATAAAGGCATTCTGATTCTGATACTGCAGTGGGAGGGATTTCCCAGGATCTCTGTGCCGTGTGTCTTGTGGACTATGAAAGATGTGCATGAAAACGAGTGTCCCGCAACCACGAGACCGCAAGTCGACTGTTCAGATTAGGACGAAGTGTGCAGGGCTCTTTACAGTCAACATATTCCCCAATTCATCTCATCTAAAGCTCCTTAAAGGGAGAAATACTGAACCAATTGAAACCTGGTCCAGAAATCAACAGAGATTTTAAAGTCTCACAAATCAGGAATAAAAAAAAAATAATCAATGTTTTTACCCGAAAGTGTAAAAAGCTTCTATTGCATACAAATGTCCATGAAATACATTTAAAAAGCAAAGTCTCAAGAATACAAGTAAATGGTGCAGCACAACTAAGCTTTAGGGTTTGTTTGTTTTAATTAACAGTATTTCATGATTTGTATCAGAGGGAGCCAAGTGCCTACTACAAATTTCACCTTGCCAACAAATGTTGGACATCACAAATGGATCTGAGGTTAGATTGATGTTCCCAAACCCATGTGTGAACGCTTTGAAAGCATGATTTGAGTGGTTCACTAACACAGTTCACTCTCTGATCGGACATCTAGCTTACTTGACATTTTTTAAGAGCTGGCAGGGAATTTGTTGACTGAGACGTCAGCTAGTGCTACAGCCTGAGACGAGTGTGGGAGACAGATGGAAGGGACATGAACCAGGGAAATCCTGGAAAAAGAATACCACGTATTTGTGAACCTGCACAATAGTCAGGTCTGGAAAGCAAGTATGTACTATTACAAGAACAATACAAGAAGTATTTTCAGCATGAAAAATGATAACGGGTCTGAGTGAATGAAGGCGGGTGAGTAATACAAAATGATTCACTGTAAAATTAAATGACATGTGCAACAACTGATCTGCAACTCCACATAATTATCTGGCTCTAATAATGAGCCAGATAAGTCTGGCAACAAATCACAACTTGAACTCACAAGTGGAGCATGCTACAAAGCATAAACAATACAGTATTTAAACATCTTTAAAAGTTTAGTCGTCTGAGCACAACGTTCGTCCTGCGACATTCAAGGATTCAAGGTTCTTTATTCGTCAATGAAGTTGTGTACACAAGGTCCGAGTTACATCCAACAAATGTATTACAATGTAAAAAAACGTTAATAAAAAAAATACACTAAGCACTAGTAGCATAAAACAGCATAAAAACAATACACCGAACATTCATTTTCAGCAGAAAGTTTTTAAATTAGTCTCCTCCCGTGACAGAAAAGTTACCTCCTCACATCTTCCTACTTTTCTGTGAGAACATGGTATGAGTTACCAATATCACCTTCAACAATCGCCTCATTTTCATCAGGGGATGATGATGCACTTTGCCTTAGCTGGAATAATTTATGAGCGCCCCAACTGTGAAAATGACACACACACACACACAAACACACACACTAGTAGATGTGAAATGACACATGCAACTTATTTCCAACGTAAGAAGCAGAAACATTTTCTGACAGGCCCTAAGGTGCAACGTGTTTTTCTCTCTCGCAGAATCCCACCAACTTTCAAATAAACCCCTTTGATTTATTTTCACATGAGAAGAACAGGTTGAGTACAAAAAGGAGTTCCACACTAAGTTGTTCATGTCAGGATTTCCTAGCGTTTCCTAAAATAAGTCTTATTTAAGAAGCAGCAGGTAGGACTCAGCTAAAACAAGTTCAGAGTCTTATCCTGATTTTACCATCCCCTTAGATGCATCTTTAGTGTGTTTCTACTTATATTTGGGTTTATTATATTATTTTACTTATTATATTAAGCGTACCGTTTAGCATATATCTTAGATCCTTATATACTGTATATACCTTATACACCTCATGTACCACACGTGATGTGAATAAAGAAACTTGATTTGTGTCTTGTTTTTTTTAAAATGTCGTTTTAACCTAAATTGTATATAAAAATACATTTCCTTGCTCCCTACATATGAAAGAATTGACCACTTCAGTATCAGTTTTCACCCGTCTGTCACTGGAGATGGCGTTCCTGCTTCAGGAGGTTGCTGATGCAGCATAAACACCAAGGGATTGGTAGGATTATACACCGTGGCCACCCGCTGACCAATGGCAGTGAAGAACAAGAGATCAGGTGACCATTAAAACACCTGAACACTTTCTATATGCACAACAAGTACAATCTGAGTGTAGAGCAGGGTAATTATAGGTTAGCCTTCATTAAATCACTTCCAGGATATTTAACACTATTATTTTCTAACTGGGTGTGATTTCATGCTTGATTAAAAAAAATAAAAAAAACTATAACAGTGACCCTTAAACTCTCACTAAATGTTCTATTGAAAGCAGTTTCATTTGTGTTCAATTGGCTGATGCAGGCGTGTTCATGACATTTAGAAACCCCGATGAATGAAGGTATTAACATGAAAATGCACAGCCATGTGTGCCACTGCACCTGAGGTCCTGACCCGGGCAGACAACGTGGAGACTGATCTGTTTGAGGGGTAAACAAAGACCTGCAGGTCTCTGTTAGGAATTTGAAATAAAACTGGTTCAATCGTGTGCGTCAAGACAATCAGCGAATATTTTTCTTCTGCAGGTGTCAAATCGTCCATCTGTCCTTTGTCCTCACTCCAACTACCGTGTCCTCTTTAACTGCATCCATATATTTCCTCTTTGTCTTTTTCTCTGGACATGTCCAAACCATCTCGGTCTGGCCTCCAACTTTATCTCCCAGTTGTTCAGCCTGTGCTGTACGTCACAACGCAAATATTTGATATTATGTTCAGCTGAGAAAAAACTATTATCGGATGAAACATGAGGTGATCACTGCCGTAAAAGAAGCCCTCACTACTTTTAGCACGTTTTCTGTGCGTTTTGTCACCGTTTGTCCTCAAAAGTGGGACTGGAGAAGCAAAGCTCAAGTTTCTTTACTGTCATTCTCGCCACATGTGGCACATGAGGTGGAACGGAATTGTGTACACAGGGTCCAACGATAGCAAAAAAAATGAATTGTAAAAGAAGCGTAGCTTGAAAAACTCCTTTTTGTCTCGACTGCTTTGTTCCCAACACATCAGGATGATTTATCAGAGGTGCAACTCGAATGTAGTTATATGTAAATGTTGCAGAAAATATGCTCATCAAAGCCTTGATATGAGCAATAAATGGACTGGATTGTATTAACCAGGCGTGTGCAATCTGCTCAGGCACAAATGTCTGATTCTAACATTTGTTCTGAAACCCATCCCGACCCAAATCACACGTCACAAAATGACGAAACGTAAAAACAGTCAGCTATTGATGCAGCAAGCACTCGGTTTTGTCGAAAGTGCGTAATATGATTGCTCGGAAATTAATTATTAAATAACAATAGTCGTGCGTCTTTAATGATCACATCTATGAAATAAGACAGTCGCCATCCTTCCATCTGATGTGGTTGGTCGCTCCATCCCAAGAAGAACCAGTTTGTCCCAGAGCTGCAACACTACAACCCGTTAGCTCACGGACAGATTGAGTTTTTTTTTTTTGTCACATCGCCACGACGATTAAGTAAAAACGATACGTGAACGTTCCCATTTTGCCTTCATTACAGACTGCTTTGCTAACAAGACGTGTTTTTGTCTTCTTACCAAAGGCTGCGTCTCTCCGTTGACAGGAGGCACTTGGAACCTGTCGATTTCTTCCATCATTTTTGGCAAAAGCGGTGTTGAAACGTGTCAGAGACGCAAAAGACAATAAGGGTTTCGTCTAAATGTGCCGATTAAAGATGCTCGGCTACGGGCGACTCCTCGTTATTCTGCATTATAGCAGCTCATTTTGCTCCTCCATCCCGCTTGACAGAGGTGACTCGACAGCTAAACAGCAGCACCGCCCCACTTCCGGGTGTGTAGAACGTTCACGACGTTTCTGTCCAATCACAGAGGAGCTCACCCGGAAGTGCGTGGAGCTCAAATTTCATCCATTTCTATTAAAATGCCAGATAAGGAAATTTACAATATTCAATATTATAATTAAAGCACGCAAACACTACATATTTTGTTCATTTTTTTTCCTGTTATTAACACTTCAATTTGTTAATTTACACAATGCGTCATCTTAACGGAGTTAACCGATTTTTAGGCTAAATATTTTTCAGAAACTAACGTCAGTTGATATTAACGTTTTTATTTATCTATTTATTTTGCAATGCCATTGTTGACAATTCAGGAGGAAAAACACACGATGGGAATATCCTGATGCATGCTCAATAACCCCCATAAAAAAAATCTAAAAACGTTAAGTCAGGTCCTCTGGACTGATTAAAAAAATAAAAATTAAAAAAATATATTGAAACGTTTCGTCTTTAATCCAAAAAACAAGTTTTTTTATATATATATCCGTCCAGAGGACCTGATTTAACACGTTGGGATCTCTTGACAGTATCCTGGACGTGTGGTTGCCTTGGCAACCGGTACACAGCAGAAAGAAACTGCCCGGGAGCTAGCTTTTATTTTTTAGGTTTTTAAAACTTATTTTAATCACTTAACGGTTTCTTTTTAACTGATTTTTTTTAACAGACTTGACAAGCTGAATATTTTTGTTTAAACTTGTAAAACTTGACTTTATCCGTGATGCCAGCGCCTAAAAATAACGCGCACTCCAGAAAGGTAAACCTCTTTTTACGTAGCATACTTTAGCCTTGTCGAGCTAGCTTACTAGCAAAAGTGGTGACGCTCTGAAAACCCCAACATTTATTTGTGAAAATGATTTTAAAGTTTTTTTTCCTGCTGCTAAGCATTCACAATTTGGTTTTCCTGTTTCTTTTATTAAAAAAAAAAAATATATATATATATATCTTCTGTACGTTTTGTGTAGGTCGGTAGGCTACTGTAAACTGTTCCACAGGCTTTAAGCTAATATTGTAGCAATACACAGCAATATAACGTTCAGCTCACTCAGCATACTCCTGCTATGACTTCTGGTATTGATATATTTTGAACGATTATTGATTCTGAATCTGAAGTCCTCTGATTTTACATGAACAGTACAATTGGTTCAAGAATGATCTGACTCTTCAGAGAATTCTTCTGAATCTCTGAAGAGTTAAAGATTGAATATTCCTTATACTGTCTTTCTTGTTTTTTAGTATTTTATATCATTTTATAACGTGGCTGTTTTGTGTTTTGTTTTTATATAATTTTCTTCCATTTACTTTTCATTTGATACACTTTTTGATGATTGTCTGCTGTTGTCTTCTGTGTTCTTTGCAGGTCCCTCTTGTAAACGAGTCCTCGAGACTCACCTGTATAAATAAAGGTTGAATTGAATTACTGTACATTGCCGCAGTAAGTCGGACCCCTTCAGGGTGGGAGTTGGACTCCACCGGGGTTGCTCGTGGTCACTTATTCTGTTCATAACTTTTATGGACAGAATTTCTCGGTGCAGCCAGCAGGCTGAGGGTTACCGGTTCAGTGGCCTCAGGATTCCATCTCTGCTCTTTGCAGATGATGTGGTCGTGTTGGCGTCATCGTGCCGTGATCTTCAGCTCTCACTGGAGCGGTTCTCAGCAGAGTGTGAAGCTGCTGGGATGAGAATCAGCACCTCCAAATTTGAGGCCATGGTCCTCAACCGGAAAATGGTGGATTGCTCTCTTTGGGTCAAGGGTGAGGTTCTGCCTCAACTGGAGGAATTCAAGTATCTCTGGGTTTTGTTCAAGAGTGAGGGAAGAATGGAGCATGAGACTGACAGACGGATTGGTGCAGCATCTGCAGTATTGTGGACGCTGTACCGGTTCGTTGAAGTGAAGAGGGAGCTGAGCTGTAAGGCAAAGTTCTCTGTTTACTGGTTGGTCTACGTTCCTACCTTCACCTATGGTCACGAGCTCTGGGTAGTGACCGAAAGAATGAGATCGAGGACACAAGCGGATGAAATGAGTTTCCTCCGCAGGGTGGTTGGACTCTCCCTTAGAGATAGGGTGAGAAGTTCAGTTCTTCAGGAGAGACTCAGAGTAGAACTGCTGCTCCTCCACATTGAGAGGAGCCAGTTGAGGTGGTTTGGGCATCTGGTAAGGATGTTCCCTGGACGCCTCCCTAGGGAGATGTTTCGTTCATATCCATCTGGGAGGAAGACCCAGGACACGTTTGGAGAGACTACATCTCTCGGTTGGCCTGGGAACACCTTGGAGTCATCCCAGAAGAGGTGGCTGTGGAAAGAGATGTCTGGGCCTCCCTACTCAAGCTGCTGCCCCCGAGACCCGACTTCAGAACAAGCGGAAGATAGTGGATGGATGGATGGATGGATGGATGGATTTAGTTAACATTCTGCTACTTATGGATTCAAGCTGGACTTTTCTTTATTTCTTGATAGATTTTTGCTACTCCTGGTTCTACGCTATAGTATTTTCCTGTTATTTGATAATATTTCCCTATTGGCTCTTAGATAGCATTTTTTTAAATAGCATTTTTTTACTTGTGCCTTTAGTCACGATACATTGCTTTTTTATTGCTAATTATTACTTGACATTTTGCACATTTTGGCTGTTTTAATCTAATTTCAATGTTTTTCTGCATTTTTCATTTATTAATTTATGTATTTATGTTTTTATATGCACTTGCAGCTTCATGTTTCAAATTTTTATCCACTGATGAATTTCAACTAGTAAACTGTAGCTTTTTAAGCAGCTTTCAGCTAAATCATTCAGCAATCATCATTCACTCTGCATTTTCACAGGAAATGCAGTTTCTCTAGTTATTTATTTGGATGTCTTTTGTTTAAAAGGTACCTGGTGCAAAGGTTAACAAAGGGCCAAAAAAGAAAAAGGTTAGTAAGTCAATAAGAAATCACTGTAATTACACCGTAATAGTTTTCTATTTGTTGCTGACATAGGTCACCTGTTATCTGTTTAATATTGTAGGATGAGGAAGAGGCTGTGGATGCGGCTGATGGATTAGATGAGTGTCCTGAAGCAAACAGGCCAGAAGATCAACTAGAGCTCACTGAGGCTGTAAGAGAAGGATGGGGATATTAATGGGTGGATTGTAACTAAATAGACCTTTGTGCAAGACATAGGTGCCAGTAAAACAGTAACAATCATAAACCACGTGTGTTCATTTTTTATTATGTTTTGGACATGTCTTTATGATTGTTTAGTAGTTGAAGAGTTTTGATTATTTTTAGCCTCATCTGTCTCCTTATGGTCATTTTAACCTTTGTGGTCATTTTCTGTCTCATTAAAATCATTATATGTCCTTTATCAACTGTTTATGCTGCAACTAGTTTAGTCATTCGTAATTTGTTTAGATTCTTTAGCATTTTTTTGTTGCCATTTTGTCTAATTTACCTCAGTGATTTTCTTAAATGTATATGATTTTGTTTTTTGTGGGTTTAATTTTATTCTCTCAATTTTAAAGCCAATTTTCCAGTTTTTGAGTAAATTTATACTTGTAAAATGAACATCTCTGCACTGATCTGCTAGGAGCTAAATGAGGAAATAACAAGGATCCTGACTGCTGTTAACCCACACGCTCCACAAAATATCGTTCGCTACAGCTTCAAGGTAAGAAAGTCACAACTAGATATAAGTCACACTATTCAATGATATTAGCAGCACTACTGCACAAGAAGCATCTCACATCCAACTGAAGTGCTAAAAAATTATTCTGTGAAGAATATACTTATTTGACTGTCAGATGTTTACATACAAGAAAAGAAAACTTGTTCTCAGCCACTGCTCTGGGTTTTAATTACATTTTTGTTTGTTTGACATAATCTATTGCCTGCCGCTGAAAGTAAAAGGGAAATAGTATTTTTTCTTGTCTATGTGTATTCATTTGTCTGCCGTGTTAACATGTCTCATGAACCACAGGACAGATTATAATGAAAGTCTCAGAAAATACTAACTGGATATACAGTACATCTTTACCTTTTTGAGTTAACCCAATTCTAGACGGCCACCTCAACTAATCAACTTATAATCAACACAACAATGTCTATAACATGATCATATATGAGCTATAGTTTGATCTGGTAGTAGCTGACAGTCATATACACTGAGTACACTGAGCACTAGCATATGTCCTGAGATCTCCCATTATCACATGAGATAGTGCATAACATTAATTTAAAGTTTGACCTAAACGGCTTTAACTGGGTCGCTTCTTATCTCCTGCGACCCTTTGTGCTAACTCTGGCACAAAGGGTCGCAGGAGCTATGCATACCTTCAAGTAATGCCAAGCCTTTAACTAATTCTTGTTTGTTTTTAAATCAGTTAATCACAACTAAACAACTGATACCTTCCTAATTCATATTTCAGGAACGTTCCTATAAGCCAGTCGCTGTGGATCAGATGGCGGTTCTCTTTGAATTGGAGGGAAACCTTTTGCATCAAGACTCTGATGAGGCTCGAAGACTGAGAGTCAAACAGGAACTGCTTAAGGGTATTGTAGCTAATAACACATACAATATTTATTCTGTTCATAGGCCACATAATAACTCAGATAGAAAAAACGTCAAAACATTATTTTTATTAATAGTTTTAAACTATGTTTTTATTTTACATATTGCATGTTGTTACCAGGGACAGCACGGCACAGTTGGTAGAGCTGCTGCCTCTCAGCGAGCAGGTTGTCCCAGTTCAAATCCCAGTCCGGGGGACCTTTCTGGGTGGAGTTTGCATGTTCTCTCTGTGCATGTGTGGGTTTTCTCCGGGTACTCCGGTTTCCTCCCACAGACCAAAAACATGCATGTTAGACTGATTGGTAACTCTAAATTGTCCCTAGGTGAGAGAGTGAATGGTTGTTTGTCTCTATGTGTCCCTGTGATGGACTGGAGACCTGTCCAGGGTGTCCCCCACCTCCCACACAGTGATGGCAGGACATGGGCACCAGTGACCAGAAAAGGAAGAAGTGGGTAAAGATAATGGATGGATGGATGTTGTTACCAGTGTAGTACATGATTGGAACCAGTAGATGTCACCTTTACAGTGTAACAAAAATTGCATGTTTATACAGAGTTTACATATAAAATGTTTTGCTTTCTGATACATCATAATTTGATTAAAAATGTTTGATAATATCCAGAAAATGCAACACTTGACACAGGAGTTGAATATGATGACGTTCGCATGGAAACCCCGGTAAATGACTTTTTTTTTTTTTTTTTATTAATAAAATGAAACTTTTGTGTTTTGTTTGGCAAAGTTTCGGTTACATTTTATGTTTGTTCCGTTTAAATTAAATATGAAAGAATGTTAATAAACACATCATATAACAAGTATGCTTTAGTCACAGCATTCCTTGGTTGATTTATCACAGGCTACACCTGCTGAGGACAGACGGGAGGTAGAAGAAGCTGGAGAGGAAGACAGACCAGACAGTGCTGCCTCAAAAGCTGACAAGAAAGAACCAAAACTTAGAAATCAGTTCAACTTCATTGACAGGGCCTTCCAGACTCTAAATAATCCTCAGAGGGTAAGAAAGAGCAGCACGTCTTGTTTTCCTCAAAAGTTTAATATTTTGATATAATTGTGGAGTTTAACTATTGAGATGCAAGTGAAGTATTCACTTTCTCAGATGTTTCAAACAAGTAATCATTTTCTTTGACCTTTTGCAGGAAATAATGTGCCAGACTGAACCCCCTCCACGCAAAAACTTCTCTGCCACTGTTAATCAGGTACTGAATTCTTTGATTGATAAAGTGCTGTTGTTTTTGTTTTTCAGCAAGTTTCATGAGTCAACTTTAATATTTCCAATCTCTTGACAGTGGACAATTTATGATGCATATGTTCAAGAGTTGCAGAAGCAAGAAAAAAATAAGGAGAAGCAGAAAACAGAACAATCAAAGAAGGATAATGACAAAAGCAAGAAGATGGTTCTGACAGAAACAGAGGTACTTTGTGATTAACCGTTGACTTGTTTCTTTACTTGAACATATTGTGATTCTAATACTTACATTTTCACTTCTTGGTGGCAAATATATAAATACTAGTTTTTCCAAAATTGATGCATTTTAGCAACTGACAGGGATTAAAATCACTTTTTCAAATCCAGCACAGAGCAAGAAACAATTGTTCATTATAATTTTCACAGAAATAAATTAGTCAAATGAGAATTTCATCATAAAGCAGCTGTGACCTCAAATATACTGATACAGAAGATACTTTATTGTTGTTGAATGATTTTGACAAGGATCCATACATATTTTTATTACATTTCTTTCAGACTGATGATTTCACTAAAGTGGCCAAGATCTTTGAACGAATGATACATCAAAATACAATGGGCGACATAGCACAAGGTATTTTCAAATGAAACGGTTATAAAGTGTTATAAAGTCATTTTTGATAAACAAGTAAAGCGTTTATTTTTTCTTCTCTTCTAACTGCTCTCCTCTCATGCCATTTCAGATTTTAAATACTTTGAGGATCCCGCTGATGAGTTCAGGGTCCGGGAGGGCACCCTGCTGCCTTTGTGGAGGTTTCAGTATGGCATGGCCAGAAGATCGATTGTTACTGCCCTCTGTTGGTATGTTGCTTTACCTAGTAGTGAATGGTGTCAGTGTCACAATATATTATTTATTTTATGGTCCTAAAAAGATGAGTGTTTGGGTGATTTGTTCTTGACAGGCATAACAAATATCAGGACTTGTTTGCTGTGGGAATGGGCTCATGTAAGTACCATGAACGGACAATATTTAATCCATTTTTTTGTAATCAAACATTGGAACATTTTTGCATTCTCGTTCTCCTTATCATGTGTTTCTGCCCTGCCTAGATGATTTCAGTAGACAGGGACAAGGCATGCTTCTCTTCTACTCACTGAAGAACTCTGCTTTCCCTGAGTATATCTACCCTACAGCTTCTGGAGTTCAGTGTCTCGACATCCATCCACAGCGCTCCTGTCTGGTGGCCGTCGGCTTCTACAACGGCTGTGTGGCTGTTTACAGTTTGAAAGAGAAGGGACAGGAGCCTGTTTACAAAAGCACTGCAAAGTCTGGCAAGCACACAGATCCTGTCTGGCAGGTGACAGCGGGGGGCACAGCAGACAGGGTGCTAGGAGTTCAGGATGTGTGTGTTCGGTTAAATGTCAGCAAGTTGACCGTAGCTTTATTTCTGCCCATTTATGTGTTCTCGTGATTTTTTAGCACTTCAGAACAATCCAGTTAGAAACAAAAATGAACTGTGCATCTATCTTAAGCCTGCAATTGTACGTTATTCCTATTACAGACACAAAATGAATTTTCATCAAGTCTGATTTTTGGTTTGGAATTCAATCAAAGTTCTCTGCTGACTTATTTGTGTCGTTGTTTTTGACAGGTGCGCTGGCAGAATGATGATATGGACACTAACCACAACTTCTATTCTGTATCATCTGATTCCCGAGTTGTGTGTTGGACTCTAGTCAAGGTGAGCCAAAACTGGTATATATTCATATTTATTATGCCTGAACCTTCACACCTTCGCCTGGCTGATTAGATGCCACAATGTGTGCCCTGTATGCATATAGGTTTGTTTGTTCCCATTTATGCATTTTTTCTTGTCTTTTGCTTATATCCCTGACTGTATTCATGTGTTTGCATGATTGCAGAATGAGCTTTTCTATACAGACGTTATCAGACTGTCTGTGAATGATGCTCTCTCTTATGGATTAGAGGGTGGACGTAAGTTTCACTAACTTAAAATTCTATAATTTTTTTAAACAAAGTCTTTTTATTAAGTTTTTGCTTTTTTTTAACACAAACACACACAAAGAAAGAACACAGAACAAAATCCCCTCCTACCCCACCCCTCCCACACCGGATCAGTCACACATGCATAAATAGTCACACAGGCATTGATATGTTCTCAACAAATGACAGAAAAGGCTGCCAGGTGTCCCAGAATCTTCCTGCAGACCCCTTCAGGATGGATCTGATTTTTTTCCGGATGCATATGGTACATGACCTCTCTTATCCAATGTATATAAGCTGGGGTGTGTGGGTCCTTCCAATTGCACAAAAAGAGCCTCCTGCCCAGAAGAGAGCCAAAGGCAATCACATCCTTCTTGTACTTGCTGAAGGACGTATCCACAGGGACTACCCTGAACAGTGAGATGAGTGGTAATGGGTGTACAGTTTTAACACATATCCCAGAGAAGGTGTCAAAAATACAAGATTGACAAAAAGTCTGCAGTTTGGGACAGGTCCAGAATGTATGCAAGAGTGTTGCTGGAGTTTGTTTACAGTGATTGCATGTGGGGTCCAGGTTGGCTTTGATCTTGGACAGCTTGTCTTTGGACCAGTGCAGCCAGTGCACCACCTTGAATTGGATTACATGTCTCAGGCAGATTGAAGATAAGTAAATGTTCTTAATGATCCTTCTCCAGATTGAGTATGATATGGATTCCTCCAAGTCTGCTTCCCATTTCAGTTTAAGAGAGTCCAAACTGGACTCATGGTATGAACTGAGCAGTGTATAAATGTTGCTGAGGGCCCCCTTCGTATCCGACCTGCACTCCAAAATCTTAGCCACAAAATGTTTAGAGGGGTACAAAGGAAAACAATCAGCGTTAGATCTCATAAAATGTCACAGCTGCATACAATTCTGTAATTTCATGGTTAATTGATTTAAGTTAATTTTTTCTTGTTCATTGTCTTAAACTTGTGTTTAACAGTGTGTCTTGCTGCCTCTTGTTTACAGCTGGTGGTACATCAATGGACTTCCATAAACAGATCGATTATCTGTTCTTAGTTGGTACAAAAAGGGGGAAAATACACAAGGTATGTAACGAGGAGTTCACCGAACAGTTTTAACAGGCTGACACTTCTAAACTTACATCAGACATGGCGTTGACGCGATTCACTTGGGCAGGAATATCTCCAGGGAGAAAGGAAGTCACACATAACTTTGTGTGTGTGACAAGGTCATTTAGAAAAGGAAAAAGCTACAAAAGTCCCATAATGTGTTATATGGTAATACTATACTGCTAATAAGTTTATCTATAGGAAGGAAAAAATAATACATTTTTAAACATTTCTACAGACAGATCAGGTTGTGTTCCCTTGTTTGGACACTGAGCTTCATTTAGGAGAGCACTATCTTCACACTCTCTAAGCCAGCTGTTGAAATTATGTATGTATTGTAGAAAAATCCCTTAAAGTGTTTTTTTGTTGTTGTCTTAGTTTTATTTATTAAGCACTTTTTTTTATTTTTTACTTAATGCATCTTTGAACCTTAACCAACAATGTTTGTCACAAAGTTCTGCCAGTGGAGAAATAACACACACCTTTGCTTTACACTTATGTATTAGCTTTATCTTGCTAAGTTGCTGACAGACAAATAAAAGTGTAAAATGTTTCATGTGCCACCTCAAGGTTCAGTGTTACAGACACCTCAGAAAGGACAAATGAACCCTCTTTCACCTGCTGCAGGTCAGCCATCAGTCTACCACTGTTTGGAAATGCATCAGCTGTCACCACCACCTTTACAGTGTGTGCCCCCCCAGGATTGTCTAGTTAATTTATTGCTGCTGTGTTTTTGCTGTCGTAATTATTTTACCAGTAGCAGTCAACAAATGGATTAATATTGCTCTTGTAGGTTTATCAAAACAAGTCTTGTCAAGACTTCTCAAAGCTTGAATTAATAATTTACAAGAAATGTTTGCAATTTTATTCCATGGCATAATGTTTTGTATATTGTTCTATAGTTGTTCAAGCGATTAAAAAACATATTCACATATCAAACCAAGTCCCATTAGTGAAAAACGGTTGTGTAATGTTTGTGAAGGCACGTTTGCCACGTTATGATAAATAATAAGATACCTCTGAGCTGCATTGTGGAATGAGTGGAAGGTTTTTAGAGCTTTGTGCTTTAAAAGACTGTAATTAAGGTTTTCATTTATACCTAAATCAACTTTTTTTACATGTAAAATCACAGCATATTTTTTCATACTTTTCAGTACATACACAATTATCCATTTTGAAGAAAAAAAACACACATAGTGTATATTTTTAAGTTTAGGTTAAGGTAAATGTTTTAAATTATGTATCAAGGACCCATTAGGTGTAGTTTTAGATGAGCTGTAATATGCCTCTGTCTAATGTACACTGAATAAATTACACCCAATGGCTGTTACACAAAAAGCCTTGTTATTTAGACCTTAGTTGTAGAAAAAAAGCAATATTCATAAATATTTCTCTGGTTTGGCACATTTTTTATTCTTTTAAAAAGACAAGGCGCTGTGAGATCTGGTTGCTCACATAGTGCAACCAGCTGAATAACCTCCTGTCCATAAACTATGATTACTCCAAAAATAGAAATGACTTTATCTAGAGCTAGTGTTTTATCTGTTATTTAGTATTTGTTCTGGGTTTTATTACACTTTTTATTGTCACTGTGATGAATGCATGGGTCCTTTTTAATAGCTACTGTAGCTATTTTTATTCTTCTATGTGGTTGGTAGAATAATCTTGTTTTATCCATGTGCAATTAACAGGCACTGGTTAAACTTTGTAATTTAATAAATTATTGAAAATGTTGATTTTTGTTTATTTCAACTGCTTGGTCTAAATCAAGACTTGGCTTTTTCCTGTAGTGCTCCAAAACCTACTCAAGCCAGGTCCTGGAGACCTATGACGCCCACACCATGGCAGTAGATGCTGTAAAGTGGAACCACTTCCATCCAAAGGTCTTTATCTCCTGTAGTTTTGACTGGACTGTAAAGATCTGGGACCATACCATCAAGTAAGAGTCACACAAACGGGTTGAACGAACAATATAGTGTAATTATGTCTGCTGTTGGTAGTTTTCACATTAGACTCTATTTATTGCCTCAAAGTTATTAAGCATATTATAAAATATGATATACTGTACTCCAGTCAGCCATAACATTATGACCACTGATGATGTTTTTTATTATTAATATCTGATAACAATTGTTGTTGATCACTTACATACACTATTTAGTGTGTTGCCTGAATGCAGTGGACTCTTTCAGCAGGATAATAAAATACCTTGTCACACTGAGAAAATACTTCACAAATGACCTGGGGGAACAAGTTTAAGGTGCTGACTTGGTCTCCAAATTAGGATCTTCTGCTGAAAACTTGATGTGAGACACTTCGGCAGTTAGTTATAATGTAATCAATGAATATAACCCCTGTGTACATTTGGAATACTTTTAATTTCTCTTTTTATTCAACCTAAAAAGCCATATTTATATTGACACTTATTAGAACATTTCTGTGTCTGCGGTGCTGTGACACTTGGCCGGCATCACAATGACTAGGTTTCCATCTGTGTCAGTCCTGGCTGAACTGGGCTTCATATTCAACAAAGCTGTTGAAGGATCATGTACTTGTTACTCAGCTAAGGATTCACAAGCTCTGGGGAATAACTTGAACTACAAGTGTTACAATCCTACTTTAACCTAATGTTGGCTGGAAACAAATAGCATGACATCATAGGACTGTATGAGTAGTGTAAATTAGTATTTTTAACAGCATATCTGTTGCTGTTTTAAGAATATTTATATATTTTGGCTCCTTTGGCTGGCCAAAAACATAAGACACTTTCAAAACTCACTCATGAAGTAAAGGTTCGTGCTCATTACAAAAGAGCAACTGCAATTTAATGCTGTGTCAGTAACCTTAGCAACACTAATTATGCTTTGTGTGCAAATATTCCAGTTCACTCAGTCAGGCACTTAAAGTGTAATAATCCTTCCAGTATATTAGTCTTTATTACATTCTTATACTCATCTTGGGTCTAGCATAACTTTCCTGGCTCGTTTGATTAATCCACAGATCCTCCCACATGTTGTCAGCACATGCAGCTTGGCTGAATAATGGTAGTAATCATTTAGTCATCACGGGAGTTGCAGTTTTCAGCTGGTATCTGTTACATTCTAAAGATACAAAACTTTGAGTTTTTAGCTAAAATATAGTAAGAAGATGTCTTAAATCTTAATTTACAGCTTTCTTTGGAGTAAATTATTGTGCAGTCTCTAGATTATAACTTATTTAAACGATGATTTATATCATAAATGGGTGGAATTAAGACCATGTATATGAAGAAGTGATATACTTCATTTTTATTTTTGTGCAGGACTCCAGTGTTGACGTTTGATCTGAAAGCTGCTGTTGGAGATGTTGCCTGGTCTCCATACTCTTCCACTGTCTTTGCTGCTGTGACAATAGATGGAACGGTAAGTTTTTCTTGTCAATTCTTCTCAATTTGTTTAGTTTTTTTTTTCTCAAATAGCAGATTAAATCTCTCCATACGAGCTGATTGTTCAGAGTTTTTTAGCCCTTAAATTTGTTATTTTAGAGTTTATTGTTGGAGCTCTAAAGGGAGGTCCACGTGCAATGTGCAAATTTTGCCTTTAGCATTCAAGCACCAACAACTTTGCTTGAATATGTAAATGTGCTTTTTCTGTTTCATATGAGAAATCAGATTTTTAGAAATAATCTATAACAAATAAATTATTGCATATATTTCTATTTATTTATACATTTCAAATGATTATTTTTCTTTTGTGTGTAATATTTTATTGGTTTATTGGTGTCTTTATTCATGTAAATGATAGAAAGATAATGTTTTTCTTAGTATAGTATATGAAATAAACTAGATGCAAAAAAATGCTAAATACCTAATAGGGTAAGTATTATGTTATATATTACTACATCACAAACTGCAGCTTCCAAAATGATATACAATTTATCCAAGAATATTATGAACAAAAACTTCACTTTTTCATCTGTAATGGTACATGGAGGCAGAATGTTTCTGTTCATGCAGGTGCATGAGTAAATACATTTTCTATATCCTTGCAGTTAACATGTCTGAACTTACTGATGAGGAAGAAAATTACATTTGTATCAGATTGTTTAAACTACTTGGGATTATAAAAGGGGCATATAAATAATTACTTTAATCAGTATGTTTAAAATAAAACTTTACACAGAAGTTTTGTTATTTGAAGTGACACAATCTTAGTCTAAATGTATCTCAGACTATCAGGGCCTATAACATGCTCAGCTGCAGGATGTGATCACACATATCTGCTGCACATGTAAAATAATATAAGCCTAACTTATATTTGACCCAACACGTGAAATAACAAACAGCTGCCCCATCTTCCATCTGCCACATGTAATTTGAGCCTATATCTCAGTTTGCTATCTTAATAAGCTCCAACCTAACTCCAAGTAGCTTCAGGCAATTATGTTTGTTCAAACTCTTGTCTCACGTAACAGAGAGGCTTCCTGCTGTGCCAGTGGTTATTGATTTCAGCCAAAAGTCATTTCCACAACGACTGTGTTGCTTATCTCCCCGTATTTATTTAGGATGGCTGCAAGCCGTCCCCATCTGTTTGTCTTCACAGTCTACGCCACACTCTAAAAGGCCAAAGTGTTATGTCTGACACGTTTCCGGTCCCATGTGGCAAATGAAGTCAAGTGAGAATGGCAGAGAGGAAATGTGAGCTGAGTAATTTGAAAGCACCTTATGTGATAGTTTGTGTACGCATGTGTCATGTCCTCTCTAATGCCAGGAGTTTGTCACCGCATGCAACAGATGCACCAAAGTATATCCATAACTCATTATGCATTTCACGACCAAGAACTTTGTCCTATTCCTTTTATTGATAAAGCATCAGATTTTCTAACTCGACACCTTTACAGAAAGCATTGGAACCAGATTACATAATAGCAACAGCTTGTTTTCAGATTAAAAGCATGTGAAGTCTGATCTGCGTCATCATTAACAGTTTCTTTTTTTTTGTGCTGAAACGTTTCGCCTTCGATCCGGAAGGCTTCATCAGTCAAGGAAACACACAACACAAAACTGATTCTTCGCCCAACAGCTTACTCCAAAGTGGAACAAACCAGTTTTGCTTGTGATAAGATGGTCTTTTTGGTACGCCCCCTCCTCCATTGCCGGCCCTCTTCCTTGTTGACAGTCATGTCAAACTGGTTGAAAACAACAACCATTCACTCTCTCACTCACACCTAGGGACAATTTAGAGTTACCAATCAGTCTAACATGCATGTTTTTGGTCTGTGGGAGGAAACCGGAGTACCCAAAGAAAACCCACGCATGCACAGAGAGAACATGCAAACTCCACCCAGAAAGACCCCCAGACTGGGATTTGAACCGGCAACCTTCTCGCTGAGAGGCAGCAGTTCTACCAGTTGCACCACCGTGCACCGTTAGTCAAAATGCAACAGGATGACACTTCTAACCTGTTTTCAGAGGGAGGAGTGAGATCATTAACCACTCAAATGTAAATCTGAGCACAAGAAAATACAAACTCCTACTAGTTCACAGCACAATTTTTTTTAATGGTTAATTTGTCTATGGGGGTTTTTTTTCAGAGAAAATATAATTTAGCTGGTAGGCAAATGACAAATTAGTGACAACAGCATGATTGGGCAGAGCATGCCACTTCACTATTATCACAATCCATTTTTATACTCCTGGACTTGCTTCTTAAAATACCCTTATTACTGGTTCTAAGACGTATCAGTGGTGGATCAACTTGAACCCTAATTTCACTTTGATCATTTCACATGTGACTCCTGTTTCCTCCCACAGACCAAAAACATGCATGTTAGGCTGATTGGTAACTCTAAATTGTCCCTAGGTGTGAGTGAGAGAGTGAATGGTTGTTTGTTTCATTTGTCTCTGTGTCCCTGTAATGGACTGGAGACCTGTCCAGGGTGTACCCCGCCCCTCACACAGTGATTGTTGGACATGGGCACCGGTGACCCCCGTGACTCAAAATGGAAGAAGCGGGTAAAGATAATGGATGGATGGATGGATGGATGGATGGATGGATGGATGGATGGAAACCCAAAGAACATGGTTGTGTTTTCTGATTGTACTAAATTGAATGTAATACATAGGTTTCATAAATCAGGGTTTTGGATTCAGATTCAGCCAAACAACGAGTCTAAAAACAACAAATACAATTTTATTGATTTGCAGTTGCAGGTGGAAGTCAGGATACAGCTGTGGGAACACGTCTTCACAGGCAGGTGAGGTGAGAGCCACCTGTCGGAGCTTGAAGGGATGACGTCACTGCAACTGGTGGGAAGGCAGCTGCAGAGGGAGGCCTTTAATGCTGTGGACAGTGGGGAAATGCAGAGTCGTGGTCCAAAAAACGAAGGAGGGGTCAAGCACAGGGAGTCAGAAGTCCAAGAACAAACCCAAAATCCAAAGGGGTAATAATTCGAGGTCCGCGGTCCAGAAGGAGTAATCAGCAGCAGGGTCAGAATGGCAAGACAAGAGCAGACTGGGAGCAGGCAGCGTGGAAAATTCACAAGACGAGGCGTGAGGTCGAAATCCAAAGAACAAGGCATGAACATCAGGCATGAGCAACAACTAGATGGCTGGACAACAGATACGAAGAAAGGTCTGATAATCTGGCGAAGAACTAGAGTGAATGTGGATCTTAAATAATGAGGGGACCAGGTGCAGTGAATCGGGGCTGATGAGCTGAAAGTGCAGAGGGGATGTGGCAGAGTGACAGAGCAGCAGAAACAGGACATGGAGAGCTGTGAGCGTGGCAGGGGACGGAGGACAGAGGACAGCATCATGACAATAGGGGCATAAAGTCATTTGTTTTTCTCTTTTTTTAGGTCACTTGTTTGTATCAGCCAAACATTGTGGAGCTGCCCTTCACATTTTATTCGGGTCAGATTATCAACAATAACAAAGTAGTCACAGCACTCTCACACTATTTTCACAATTGTTGCATGAACTTCATCAGCATAATCTCCTCCAGGGCAACAGTTTTGTTGAAAGCATTTGTTGTTTGTTTGTTATGTGTCTAGAAAAGCTGGAGGGACTCAACGTGAGTTGTTTGCTCCTTGTTGTGGATTTACTGACAGTGACAACCTGATGTTCTGCTACTTCTACCACTCTGCAGAATGTCAGAGAAACAACAGTGTTTGTGGAAGCATGTGGGTTTGTGCACGATTGTGTAGGCCTACATGTGTTTACAAGGATAATGAATTGCTTGGCAGGCTGAGGTGTGACAATGACACACGGCTGTGTGTTGCAAACAGATTCTCTGTCCTCGTCTCTCCATCTGAGCTGATTGTTGAAGGAATAGAGTTGATCTTTCTGGTCCTGTCCACCAGTTGTCAGTCTTCAAACCCATGTTTGCTCTCTCTAAGGCAGCTTCTTCGGCCTTTTTGTGTAGAGATGTCCACCATTGTTTTATTTATTTACGATATTTACAGTTCAAAAACAGCAACCCAGATCAATCAAGACTTTTAACCTTCATTTCTTTATATTTTACATCCAAACTGCCAGATTTTATTCAAACCATTTTAAAAGTCTTAAGCAAAAGTGGTCCAGACTTTCAGAGTTGTTTAAAGTCATCAATGTGAAGCTCAAGGTGAAATCAGGACCTTATTTATCTTGAAATTCCATGTATTTAGGTTTTATTTTCTAACTCTCAGTTTAAACAGCTGCGGTCTTGAGATTTCTTTGCAGCCTTTGTGGTCGTGAACATCAGCAGGTATAACATTATAAGCTTATATGCAGAAAATTAAAGTGGTTTAAATATAACGTGGACCTTGAAATTATATAAAAACACATATTTATCTATTTTTTTATTGTTGTAAATTAGCATTTTTGCTAAAACAAAATGAGATCTAAGAATTGTTTTCATAATCTTAGCTATGTGCAGTGTCTGTCATACAGATAAACACCAATAAATTAACTTATCTTCTTACTTTAAAAATCATAGCAGACATTGTTAAAGGCTCTCATTAAGTTCAATATAACAGTACAATAATGCCGCCATATTTCCCATCAAAAATAGCACTGACGAGTCTGTCACGCTAATGTCATGACTTCGACTTGTGGTTCTCAAAGCAGGCGAGTCTCTACATAATGGTTTCTTCAAAGCTTGTATCTTTATCCATCTTTCTAATTTCACCATAATTCCAGTCCTTTTTGTCCTCCCTGCAACACACAAAAGATCTCCAAAGTTACTCATCACCAGGCATTTTTTTATTCAGTCAAATTTGTCTTTAAGAAAATGTTAGCAATCAAAGTTGATTAGCGCTATAAATATAAACATTTAATATATACAATGTGGTAGAAAATGCTACGTGCAGGATGCTTCCATCAGTGCTCCGGTGATGGTATTAATCTGAATACATAAAAATTTGAGATAATGACCAAAGAATC